TCAGAGAGGGAAGATCAAAGAGGAGAGGAGGAGAGAGAGAGGAGAGAGAGAGGGAGAGAGAGAGAGAGAGAAAAGAGAGGGAGAGGGAGAGGGAGAGCGAAAAAGGGACAGCGAGAGAGGGAGAGAGAGAGGGGGGGAGGTAGAAAGGGGAGGGAGAGAGGGAGGGAGAGAGAGAAAGAGAAGGGAGAGGAAGAAAGAGAGGGAAAGAGAGAGAAAGAGGGAGAGAAAGAGGAAAAACCGTGAAGAAGAAGTTTGTCAACTAAAATTTCAGGGCGAAAAAAAATGTGAAGAAGAAAATGTGAAATCAACACGAAAGAATCAGAGAGGAACTCAATTGAAACATGCATTTCTGCCGCATCTTGTGTAGACATGATTAGTTTGAAGAGAGCAATTTTTATCAGGAACTAGATGAAGCAGAGATTTTAAAATACAGCAAGGGAAAATGAAGAAACTGCTCCCTTCCCACAGTTTCATAAGGTCTGTTTCATCCCAGAAGAGATTTGACTTCCTGTTCTTGGATTTATCTGGCTGCGCCAACATTGAAGCAAATTATTATGGAGAGGCTTTATCCGTTTTTCAAGGTTCATATGTCATGAAATTTGTTCCTAATTCTTGTAGTTTTCTTCTCAATACTCACACTGCAAAACATCAGTACCAAACAGTCACAACTTCATTTAGATGTGAACTGAACTAAACCAGCATATACGGAGCTTCCGGCTGATTCCGACTCAAGAAGTCTGTGGGTTACAGTTAGCTTAGCAGGTAAAGTTTGTTAGATATGCAATTCTATTCTGTCAAAATTGAGAAGAGAAGGATTATGTCCAGTTTTCGTAACCCGTAAAGCGAATCTGATTTTATCATACATGAAATTGTCTGCAGCCTCTAATCGAGCTACCGGAAACCCAAACTTTTTGAACTAAGCTTAGAAGAAGCAAAGTAGATTCTTAAAAATCTTAATAGCTTTTAACTCCAATTTTATATAGAAAAGCAACAATAGAAATATGCTTTTACTAAATATCATCAGACATGGTGGAGCCAGTTTGGTGAACTATGATAATACAGCAAACCATTCCACATACGAACGAGATCAGTACCAAACACAAATTTCATCTACACGCCCCTGCACACCTGCATAAAAATCATTGATCCAGGAATCAAACAGGAAAGATACGAAAACTCATTCGTAGAATTTTATTTTCATCGATTTAACAGGACCAACATTTTACAACAGGAGAAAAGCAGAATATTTGGATACATATCCTGCTTTTCTTTCTTGACTCGGGTGCTACCATGATATCTAAGAACAAAAAGTAAATTCAAATATTGCCATGTGAGTTATATATATATGTATATACTACTTTTTGTTTATAACTTAATTAGAAAGAATACTGCTGTATGCATATGGATAATCTTCATTAATATTTGAGATCGATTCATGCCTCCTGGAAGTTTTGTCTTACTAAATTCACTTACTGGCAACCATGTCATTCAAGACTCCTTTACAGGAACCCAACAAGATGAAGCATATACAATCCTGCCTTTCCATCCTTGCAAAAACCAGGAGCCATCCTCATCAATTACAAAATCCTTGTGGTAGCATGCTCTGAGTTTCGCCCTAAATTTCTTCATGAGCTCCTGGTCCAGCGGAAGCTGCTTGAACCCGGCTCTCATAACTCGAATTTGCCACTGCTTGTAGTTCTCAGGCCTCTCAACTCTCTCCAACCCCTCACAGGCTATGACATTCATTACTTCCCGCCCATAGAATTCCCTCTCAAGCATCAACCTTGCCGGATCTTCACGAGGCAAAGTAGCATCAAACTTGTCAAATAAAGCAGAGAAGTGGAAGAGTGCCTCCTTGAAGCGTGTGACGAAAAAGGGAGCATTGTAAGCTCCATTGACAATGTTATGGACAAATATATCAGGATTGATTTCTCTAATTAAGTTCAGAACAGCATTCCTTGGACAGTTCACTTCAATTGTCTCGTCAAGTAGGTTCTTAAAACGAAACAAACAGTTCACTGCAAGCACCTCATTCTT